ATGTTTTGAATAATTCAGGCAGTTGTTTCTAAAATGTTTCTGAGACCAGGTGCAGTGCCTTGTTCCTGTAATCCCAATGTTTTGGGAGGCCAAGGCAGGAGTATCAATTGAGCCCAGGAGTCTGAGGCTGCAGTGAGCTGTGATTGCGCCACTGGACTCCAGCATGGGTGTCAGAGCGTGACTCTAAGAAAAAAAAAATTATTTCTGAGATGTATCCAGGATGATGCATCTGGGTTGAGCTTGTGTTTATTAACCACTGTATAGTAACCCATCCAATCTTTAAACTCCTAGAAAAAAACAAAACAAAAAGATGAAAAAACAAAAACAACCCCCCAAAACACAAATAAAAAAATAATAAATAAAAGCAAACAAACAAACATAAAGAACGTAATATGATAAAAATAAACTCCCACCATTTCTCCACTCCCATTTCTCATAGGAGTATGAGAGAACACCCTTGTATATAGATCTCCGTGGACACACAGGCGGAATTCTCACTCTGTCACCACCTAGAAGTCAAATTAGTGGGTGAGAGTTCCAGTAATCTCTTGCAGCATCACTACTCCACAATCTAGAGGCTTATGACAACAGTTTGTGGCCAGGAGCAGTGGCTCATTCCTGTAATCTCAGCACTATGGGAGTCTGAGGCAGGAGAATCACTTAAGCCCAGGAATTCAAGACCAGCCCGGGCAACATAGTGAGACCCCGTCTCTCTCTCTCTCTCTCTCTCTCTTTTTTTGATACGGAATCTCACTTTGTTGCCAGGCTGGAGGGCAGTGGCACGATCTCAGCTCACTGCAACCTCCGCCTCCTGGGTTCAAGCAATTCTCCTGCCTCAGCTTTCCAAGTAGCTGTGACTACAGGTGCGCACCACCATGCCCAGCTAATTTTCGTTTTTTTTTAGTAGAGATGAGGTTTCACCATGTTGGCCAGGATGGTCTCAATCTCTTGGTCTTGTGATCTGACCACCTTGGCCTCCCAAAGTGTTGGGATTACAGGCGTGACCCACCACGCCTGGCCAATGAGACTCCATTTCTATAAAAATTAACTGAACATGGTGGTGCATGTGTATAGTCTCAGCTACTTGGGGGCTAAGATGGAGGATTACGTGAGCCCAGGAGGTGGAGGCTGCAGTGAGCTGTGATTGCGCCACTGTACTCCAGCCTCGATGACAGAGGGAGACCCTGCCTCAAAATAAATAATAAATAAAAAGACAATTGGCTTTTCTCTCTCTCAGTTTTGCAGGCAGGTTGAGTTGTGTTGGGCAGTTCTTGCCGCCACGATCTCATTAACTTGCAGGGAGGCGTGGCCGGGGCTGTTTATGCCCATGTCGAGTGCCTGGGCTGGATGGCTGGATCAGCGGGGCCCGGCGGCATTTCGCTCTCCACACAGCCTCTGCATGTGGCCTGCCTGGACCTCCTCACAGTAGCTCTGTCCCAGACTTCCTATATCATGGCCGACTTCTTCTAATGTGAGATTCCGGAAGGCTTTGGTAGAAGCTGTAAGGCTTCTTAAGACCTACCTCGGATGTCCTAGAACCATCACTTCTACACCATTCTGCTGGTCAAGGGAGGCACTGAGGCCTGCCCAGGCTCAGGCAGAGAAGATGAGATTCCACCTCTACTGAGAGGAGTAGCAAAGGAATGGCAGCCATCCTGATCACAGATGCCCGGCCCTTCGGCGCTAGTCAGTATGGCCAAGCTGGTTTTCAAAGCACAGGTATTATCTTCATATTTTATTATTATTTTCTTGAGAGAGGGTCTTTCACTGTCACTGAGGCTGGAATGCAGTGGCATGATCATGGCTCATTGCAGCCTTCATCTCCCTGGCTCAAGTGATCCTCCCACCCTAGCCTCTCAAGTAGATGGGACTACAGGCACACGCCATTGTGCCTGCCTATTTTTATTTATTTATTCATTTATTTCAAGATAGAGTCATGCTCTGTTGCCCAGGCTGGAGTGTAGTGGTGTGATCTTGGCTCACTGCAACCTCCACCTCCCGGGTTCAAGTGATTCTCCTGCCTCAACCTCACCAGTAGTTGGGATTACAGGTGAGTGCCACCACATCTGGCTAATTTTTTGTACTTTTAGTAGAGATGGGGTTTCGCCACGTTGGCCAGGCTGGTCTGGAACTCCTGGCCTCAAGTGATCCACCCACCTTGGCCCCCCAAAGTGCTGAGATTACAGGCGTGAGTCACCTTGCCTGGCTTATTTTATTGTTTTATTTTTATTTTATTTATTTATTTTTTGAGATGGAGTCTCTCTCTGCCACCCAGGTTGGAGTGCAGTGGCGCAGTCTCAGCTCACTGCAAGCTCCGCCTCCCAGGTTCATGCCATTCTCCTGCCTCGGCCTCCCGAGTAGCTGCGACTACAGGCGCCCGCCACCACGCCCGGTTAATTTTTTTATCTTTTTAGTAGAGACGGGGTTTCACCGTGTTGGCCAGGATGGTCTTGATCTCCTGACCTCGTGATCCACCCACCTTGGCCTCCCAAAGTGCTGGGATTACAGGCCTGAGCCACCACGTCCGGCCGGCTTATTTATTTTTAAGACAGGGTCTCACTCTGTCACTTAGTTGGAGCGTAGTGGTGCAGGAACAGCTCACTGCAGCCTCAATGTCCCAGACACAGGTGATCCTCCTGCCTCAGCCTACCAAGTAGCTGGCACTATAGGTGTGCACCACCATTCCCAGCTAATTTGTGTATTTTTTGTAGAGACAGGGTCTCACTATATTGTCCAGGCTGGTCTCGAACGCCAGGGCCCAAGCGATCTGCCTGTGTTGGCCTCCCAAAGTGCTGGGATTACAGGCATGAGCCACCATGCCTGGCCTAACGCATAGGCTTAATTTATACTAGGTAATAAAGTATCCGACTCCCTTTCTGATGTTTTACAGCCGGCAGCTTTAAAGCCCCTGCCTCTCTTCTCCTTGTGCCCACATCTAGGCAAGCTAATCCGAAGTCCCTGGTGCTCTCTCCCTTGCACTACAGAAAAATTTAAATTAGGAAAGCCCTGACTGGTTGGAAGGGACCTTCATCCCACTTTATCCCCTAACAACAATAAAAGCCCCTCCATGAATTACTTGAACCTGGGAGATGGAGGTTGCAGAGAGCCCGGATCGTGCCACTGCACTCCAGCCTGGGCGACAGAGTGAGACTCCATTGAAAAGAAAAACAAAAAACCACACACACACACACACACACACACACACACACACACACAAAAAACAATAACAACAAAACCCTCCTTGCTCTCTCAAACCACTTTCAGAGCTGCCTGGGAGCCCACTCTGCTCTTCCAGAAAGCCTCATCGTTGAGTAATCAAACTCTTCTTATTCTCTTGGTGTGCTTGTGGCCTTATTGGTCTCTAATCTGAACCAAATTTGGGACATAGGGTAAATCACAAAACATGCTTCTATCTGCAGAGAGTGAATTTCTTTTTATTTATTTATTTTATTTCTATATGAACAAATGCTGCCTCTCCTGCAGAGCATCAATTTATTTCTTTCCGTTTTTGGTAGAAATGGGGTCTCAGTATGTCGCCCAGGCTGGGTCTCCTTCAAATTCCAGGCCTTAAAGGATCCTCCTGCCTTGGCCTCCCAAAGTGCTGGGATTATAGGTGTGAGTCACCACACACCTGGCTACAGCACAAATTTCATCTGGGCCACACCTGGCCAATACTCGGCATTGTCAGACTTTAAAATTTTGCCAATCTGATGACAAACATGCGATCTGTTATGGAATAAATTGTGCCCTGTCAACATTCCCATGTTGAACCGGGATGGTGGCTCACGCCTGTAATCCTAGCACTTTGGGATCCTGAGGCAGGAGAACTGGTTGAGCCTAGGAGTTCAAGAAACCCCTGAGCAACACAGGGAGGCCCCATCTCTACCAGAAAAAAAAAAAAAAAAAAAAAAAAGAGAAAAAAGATGGGCATGGTGGCTTGGGCCAGTAGTCCCAGCTACTTGGGAGGCTGAGACAGGAGGACTGCTTGAGCCTAGAAGTTCGAGGATGCAGTAAGCCATGATCACACCACTGCACTCCAGCCTGGGAGACAGAGCAAGACCCCAGCTCGAAACCAACAGACAAACAAACAAAAAACAAAACAAAACAAAACAAACAAAAACACCAGAGAGAGAAGAATAATTTGTATGTTAAAGCCCCAATACCTCAGAATGTGATTGTAGTTGGAGATAGAGCTGATCAAAAAGTGATTAAGTTAAAATGAGGCTTTTAGGGTGGTCCCTTGTAAGATGGCTTTTAGGGTGCTCCCTTGTAACATGATTGACTTGTTACAAGAGGTCGATGGCCAGGGCGGTGGCTCACGCTTGTATTCCCAGCACTTTGGGAGGCCCAGGAAGGCGGATCACGAGGTCAGGAGACCGAGACCATCCTGGCTAACACGGTGAAACCCGGTCTCTACTAAACATACAAAAAATTAGCCGGGCCTGGTGGCAGGTGCCTGTAGTCCCAGCTACTTGGAGGCTGGGGCAGGAGAATGGCGTGAACCCGGGAGGCGGAGTTCGCAGTGAGCCGAGATCGCACCACTGCACTCCAGCCTGGGCAACAGAGCGAGACTCCGTCTGAAAAAAAAAAAAAAAGTGGAGATCTCTGAGGTGTGCAGGCACAGGGGAACGACCGTCTGCGGGAACAGCAAGAGGACGCCCATCTGTACGCCCAGGAGGAGGCCTCAGGAGAAACCAGCCCCGCAGGCACCTTGATCTTGGCCTTCCAGCTTCCAGAACTGTGAGAACGTAAACTTCTGGTTGAGCCTCCCAGTCCGTGGTGTTTTTTTCTGGCGGCCCCTGCGAGCCGGCGCTGGATCGCAGTGTTTGCCTTTGCATCTCCAGCTCCGCATCCTGCTCGCTGTTTATTTTGTGAGCAGCCCCTGCGGGTGCACCTCAGCTGCTCCAGGACTGAGCAGTTAGTAACGCACACTCGCCCACCCGCCCTCCCCAGGAAGCCTCCCGCCCGCTTCCTCCAGTTCCTTCCCCACCTGTCCGGCCTCCTAGCCCGGTGCTCTTGGCGCGGGAGGGGGCGGCTCGCAGACCCCCTGGTCTCAGCTTCCCGGATCTCCGCCGCCCACTCACTCCCAGGTCTCCGGCTCCCGGCACTGGCCGGCGCTGCGGCTTCCGCGCAGTGGTTGCTGCATTTAAATGTCCGGCACCTGGGGAGACGGGCGCAGTCGCAGAGCAGCTCCTGTTCCCGGGATCTAGAGCGGCCCAAACCCCCGCTTGCCCAAGCCGAGTCCCGCGCGCAGCCCACGTGGGCTGGGGGACTGAGTATCCGGCCCTCTGGCAGCTGCAACCGCGCACAGCTGGAGCTGGCGGGGCAGAGGGCGGACCGGGACCCCATGGGGAAGGAGGCTTCCTTCCCAGCCTCCTGCTGCCCGGAAATCCCCCCGGCTCTCAGACAACCCGCAGCTCCGGTCCTGGGGGGAAGGAGCGGGGCGGGATACCGGGATGGGGAGGGCTGGCTGAGTCGGAGGCCTAGGCCGCCCTCCCTCGGGCCGCGCGGCTTCAAGAAAGCAGAAGCGAACCCTGCCCCGGGGAGTCCCACAGGAGCGGTGATCTAGGAAGAGAAACTTGCGAACAAGGGAGTTGGATCCGTGGACCCCCGGCCCCCGCCCGGGCGTCCTGCGTCGGAGGAGGGTCTCTGGGTCGGGCAGGGGCCACCTCTTGGCCCGCCCCGTGTCCCTGGACATCCGAAGATTGGGCCATTTCCCTTGCCGCGCCCTTACCGCTTATCGGGGTGCGCCCGGCCCGGCCCGCCCCACCCAGCCCTCCGCTCGCGCCCAGAGAGGAGGGGCCGCCGGCGCAGAGCCCGGGGACCCCGAGAGGCTGTGCCGCTCCCGCGTCCTCTCTACCGTCCTGGGATTCCCAGACCCACCCCACCCAGCGGCGCGACCCTGGCCCTTCTGGACGCTCCGTTGACTCCACCGCGCGCTTTCCAGGACCATCGAACATACCCCAGCCCTCCAGCCCATCCCTCCCTGCTCTGTGCCGGTGTCCCCGGCCCTCTCCAGACCCGATCTCTTTCCCCAGGTTCCCGGGGCGGCCCCAGCCAGGCCCCCTTCGAACCCCGCCGGCGGCCAGGGCTGGGGCGCGCCATGCAGCTGCGGCTCCGGCTTCTGGCGCTGCTGCTCCCGCTGCTGCCACTGCCCGCGCGCGCCCCGAAGCCCTCGGCGCAGGACATGAGCCTGGGCGTGGTGAGCGCGGGGTCCGCAGGCTCTTGTGGTCTGCAGTTTCTTGGGGTCTACAGCGAGATTGAGAGAGGGAAGCCGGGTCCGGACTCCTGGGTCCTGAGAAAGCAGGGGCAAGATTCCAATATCCAAAGAGTGACTGAGGATGGATTCTGGGCTCCCGGATTCTTGGTCTGTGGGGAGGTTTGGGGCTGGGATTTGGAGCTCTGGAAAGGAGCTGAGGTGAGGAGCTGAAGTCCAGACAAAGACTGACAAACCCGGGACTGAAGTGGGGACCTCCGGAGGGGAGCAGGCAGGCATCTGGGGCTGGGGCGCTTGGCTGTGAGTGCCTGAGAGGGGCAGGGCTGCCAGGATGGTGGTGGGCAGGGAGAGCCCATACTTTTCACCAGCCCGCTTCACCTGTCGCCTCCGATGCCCTAGGACTGGCTGACGCGCTATGGTTACCTGCCGCCACCCAACCCTGCCCAGGCCCAGCTGCAGAGCCCTGCGAAGTTGCGCGATGCCATCAAGGTCATGCAGAGGTTCGCGGGGCTGCCTGAGACCGGCCGCATGGGTAGGTGGCCCCCACCCCTCCCCAGCCCTGCCTCTGCATACGGCCTGACCACTGCCCTACAGTCTTTAGACCTCAGCGTGCTCCTGGAACACGGAGCTGTGAAGATGCTGATTTCAGGCCCCAACCCCAGAGGGCCTCAGATATTCATCTTTCCATAAGCATTTATCAAGAACCTGGTGGCTCATGCCTGTAATCCCAGGGCTTTGGGAGGTGGAGACTCAAGGATTGCTTGAGGCCAGAAGTTTGAGAACAGCTTGGCCAACAAAGTGAGACACCTCCCACTCTCTAAGGATTTTTTTTTTTTTTTTTTTTTTGAGACGGAGTTTTGCTCTTGTTGCCCAGGCTGGAGTGCCATGGTAGGATCTTGGCTCACTGCAATCTCTGCCCCCCAGGTTCAAGTGATTCTCCTGCCTCAGCCTCCTGAGTAGCTGGGATTACAGGCATGCGCCACCACGCCAGGCTAATTTTGTATTTTTAGTAGAGAGGGGGTTTCTCCATGTTGGTCAGGCTGGTCTCGAATTCCCGACCTCAAGTGGCCAGCCTCCCAAAGTGCTCGGATTACAGGTGTGAGCCACCGTGCCCAGCCCTCTAAGGATTTTTTTTTTTTTTTTGAGACGGAGTCTCACTCTGTCGCCCAGGCTGGAGTGCAGTGGCACAATCTCGGCTCACTGCAAACTCCACCTCCCGGGTTCACACCATTCTCCTGCCTCAGCCTCCGAATAACTGGGACTACAGGTGCCCGCCACCCGGCCCGGCTAATTTTTTGTATTTTTAGTAGAGACAGGGTTTCACCGTGTTAGCCAGGATGGTCTCGATCTCCTTACCTTGAGATCCTCCCGCCTCAGCCTCCCAAAGTGTTGGGATTACAGGCGTGAGCCACCGCACCTGGCCTAAAGCCTGATTTTTTTAAACTTAGCCGAGTGTAGTGGCATAGGCCTGTGGTCCCAGCTACTCAGAACTCTGAGGTGGGAAGATTGCTTAAGCTCAGGAGTTCAAGGCTGCAGTGAGCTGTCATTGTACTACTGCACTTCAACCTGGGCAACACATGGAGATCTAGTCTCTCTAACAAAATATACTTTGAGCATCTCTTAGATGGCATGCCCTTTCAGCTCCAGTGGTATAGTGATAAATAAAGTAGGTAAGGTTCCTGCTCTCATGGAGCTAACTTTCTCGAGGGAGAGAGAGACAGATCAAGAACGTAAATATGCAAGATAATTTCAGACAGTGGTGAGTGTTTGGAAAAAAATAAAATGCTATTGGCACCGAGGGGCTGGTCAGGTTAGGGTAGGTCCCTCTGAAAAGTGTCATATGAGCTGAGACCACAAAGAGGAGGAACCAGCCATGGGAAGATGTGGAAGAAGAATGTCCCGGGCAAGTGCAAAGACCCCATGGCACGCACAAGCTTGTGTGCCTGGAGCGAAAGGAGCATTGAAGAGCACTGGCGAGAGGCCTCAGTCAAGGGCCCTGAAAGGTGATTGGGGTTGATTCCAACGGTGATTAGCAACTGCGCAAGTGTTCTCAGAAGGGAAGTAACTTGGAACTTGGTATGACTTGCAGTTCTTTTTTTTTTTTTTTTGACAGAGTCTCACTCTGTTGCACAGGCTGAGTACAGTGGTGCAATCTCGGCTCACTGCAACCTCTGCCTCCCAGGTTCAAGCGATTCTCGTGCTTCAGCCTCCTGAGTAGCTGGGACTACAGGCACCCGCCACCATGCCCAGCTAATTTTTTTGTATGTTTAGTCGAGACAGGGTTTTGCCATGTTGGCCAAGCAGGTCTCAAACTCTGAGTCTCAAGCGATCAGTCCACCTTGGCCTCCCACAGTGCTGGGATTACAGGCATGAGCCACTGTGCCCGGCCTTGACTTGCAGTTTTAAGCTTCCTCTGAGTCCTGTCGGAGAACGAAAGGCAGGAGCCCTGAGACCAGGCAGAAAACGGCTGCGGAGTCCACACGAGGGATGGTGGCAGGATGATGGGTGGCGTATGTGGCCAGGAGTAGTTAGATTTGGGGTGTATATTTTGGAGGCAGGGCCAAGGAACTCTTCTGTGGGGTTAAGTGGGTAAGAAGAGGGAATTTGAAGGATCTGGCTCACTACAAGGAAAGGTAGGCCCTTTCTGTGTCCTGGTGACTCACAAACAGCGTAGAACAGTGTCTGGCATCTATATGTCCTTCACTACTATTTGCTGTCTCAACAAATGAGGTGCAGTTTGACCTTAATTTGGAAATGAGGCTACTGGAGATGGAGCCTGACTGGGAAAGGGGACCCCGGAGAGACCTAACCCCGGAGGAGGTGGCTTGCCACAGGAGGCCAGAGACCCAGCCGGCCTGGGGACTTTGGACTTAATCTGGGTTTGAGGAGAGCTTGACAGTGATGGTGTGAGGCCTGCACAGCTCCCAGAGGGTTCCAGCCTCAAAGGTCCTCACTGCATACCCAGGGTTCCTTTCTCCAGAGTCTGCCCACCAGGGCCCAGGAAAGCTGGATGCGAAATCCTGGCCTGAGCCTCTGAGCACCACCTACATGCAGCCAGTTTGTCCCAGGCCAAGTGACGCCACTCCATAGGGCAGTGGGAATAGCTTGGTAGGAGCTGGCTTCCAGAGACAGACTGCCTGGGTCCAAATCTGGGCTGTGGGGCCTTCGAGGACACGTTTCTTAAGCCCTCTGAGCCTCAGTTTTCCCATGTAGAAAGTTGACTGGTGCTATGATTAAGGCAGGCTCTCCTATTGTGCACCCCTTTCCCCCACATCGCCAAATGTCTCCCACAGACCCAGAGACAGTGGCCACCATGCGAAAGCCCCGCTGCTCCCTGCCTGACGTGCTGGGGGTGGCAGGGCTGGTCAGGCGACGTCGCCGGTATGCTCTGAGCGGCAGCGTGTGGAAGAAGCGAACCCTGACATGGAGGTAGGTCCCGGGGCCCACCCGCACCCTGGGCCTGCCTGCTGGGCTCCAGCTTTGAATGGCTGCCTACTCCCTCCACGGCTACCCTTACGCCTTGCTCCCCTTTCCCCAGGGTACGTTCCTTCCCCCAGAGCTCCCAACTGAGCCAGGAGACCGTGCGGGTCCTCATGAACTATGCCCTGATGGCCTGGGGCATGGAGTCAGACCTCACATTTCATGAGGTGGATTCCTCCCAGGGCCAGGAGCCCGACATCCTCATCGACTTTGCCCGCGCCTTCCACCAGGACAGCTACCCCTTTGACGGGTTGGGGGGCACCCTAGCCCATGCCTTCTTCCCCGGGGAGCACCCCATCTCCGGGGACACTCACTTTGACGATGAGGAGACCTGGACTTTTGGGTCAACAGGTAAAATCTCCTTTCTTATGAGAGATCCTCTTGCCAGGTCTGGTCTCGGCCAGAATAAGTTTTCTGGGAGGCCGAGGCGGGCGGATCACAGGTCAGGAGATCGAGACCATCCTGGCTAACACGGTGAAACCCCATCTCTACTAAAAATACAAAAAATTAGCTGGGCGCGGTGGCGGGTGGCCTGTAGTCCCAGCTACTCCGGAGGCTGAGGCAGGAGAATGGTGTGAACCCAGCGGAGCTTGCAGTGAGCCGAGATCGTGCCACTGCACTCCAGCCTGGGCCACAGAGCCAGACTCCGTCTCAAAAAAAAAAAAAAAAAAACGAAGTCTCGCTCTGTTCCTTAGGCTAGAGTGCAGTGGTGCAATCAGAGCTAACTGCAACCTTGAACTTCTGGCTCAAGCAATCCTCCCACCTCAGTCTCCAGAGTAGCTGGGATCACTGGTGCACACCTTCATACCCGGCCTTTTTTTTTTTTTTTTTTACCTTTTGTAGAAACAGGATCTCATTATCTTGCTCAGGCTGGAGTGCAGTGGCACGATCATAGCTCACTTCAGCCTTCACCTCCTGGGCTCAAGCAATCCTCCTTCCTCGGCCACCCACGTAGCCAGGACCACAGATGTGCACCACCACACCTGGCTAGTTTTAAAATTTTTTGTAGAGGCCAGGCTTCACTGTGTTGCCAGGGCTGGTCTTGAACTCCTGGGCTCAAGTAATCCTCCCATCTTGGTCTCTCAAGGCGTTGGGATTATAGGCATGAGCCACCACTCCTGGTCAATAATTAGGTTTAAGTTGTATTTATTGATGGAGGCTCTATCATCTAGGGGGTCTCCAAAGAAACAAAACCAATAGGATGTGTGTGTGTGGGATGTGTCTGTGTGTGTCTGTGTGTGTGGGGAGGGGTGTGTGTGTGTGTGTGTGTGTGTGTAAAGAGATTTATTTTAAGGAATTGGCTCACGTGATTGTAGGGGCTAGCAAGTCCAAAATTTGTATGGCAGGCTGGCAACTCTGGATTTCAGTGACAGTCTGGAGGCAGAATTCCTTCCTTCTCTAGAAAACCTTAGCTTTTGCTCTCAATGCCTTGAACCCATTGGCTCTGCCCCTGCCCCACCCCCAGCCACACTATGGAGCATGATCTACTTGACTTAAGGTCAACTGATTGTAGATGTTAATTGCATCTACAAAGCACCTTCACCATAGCATCTAGACTGGTGTTTCACCAACCAGCTGGGCACGACAGCTGGGCCAAATTGACCATCACAGAGGCCTAGCAGGTGCCTAGCTCCAATCCAGAGCTGGGGGCTTACAGAGATGAAAACAAATCTCTACCTGGCAGCTGAGTCAGAAGAGTGACTTGCAATGACAAAACCCACAGTGACACAGCTGCACAGAGTCCCAGCAGAGGAAGTCCTCAAGCCTGCAGGGGCTCAGAGATGTTGGCCCAAGGCTCTTGGGCAAGAGGAGGCTTCCTAGAAGAGGTGACTTCATTCCCTCAATATATATATGAATATAGGCCGGGCGCTGTTGCTTCCGCCTGTAATCCCAGCACTTTGGGAGGCACAGGCAGGCAGATCACCTGAAGTCAGGAGTTTGAGACCAGCCTGACCAACATGTTGAAACCCCGCCTCTACTAAAAAGTACAAAAAATTAGCCGGGTGTGGTAGCGCACACCTGTAATCCCAGCTACTGGAGAGACTGAGGCAGGAGAATCTATTGAATCCAGGAGGCAGAGGTTGCAGTGAGCCGAGATCGTGCCACTGCACTCTAGCCTGGGAAACAAGAGCAAAACTCCATCTCAAATATATATATATATGTGTGAATATCCACACATACACACTGAGCGCCTACTAGCACAAGACCAGACATACAGGGTTCCGCTCTCCCCGGGTACACAGGGTTGAGATCCAATAGGAAGGCAGCAAGTCAGCTCAGTCAGGGGTACGAGGAGCCAGTGAACAAGGAAATGACCCGGGACATCTGAGGCCGGAAGCCAAAACTATGGCATCAGTAGGGAGACTGCAGAAGGTGGCAGGTCCCAGATCACCAAGGACCTTGAAAGCATGTGGAAGACTGTTCAGTTGGGGAATCATTAAGGGGTTTTGCATTCTGGAACTATCATCAACTTCAGCGGGGTCCAGGGGTAGGATAGAGGCAGGGAGGCAGGAAGTTCTCGCATGGTCCAGGCACGAGATGGTGGAGTGTGCTCCTGGGGAAGGGGGCAGTGGACGGATCTAAGGGAGGTTCAGTTAGGATGGGCACGGATTGAGATCTGGCTGGATCCTGGTGACAGGAGAGATGAGGCTGGGGCCTTTGGAGGATGGTGTCCTGGTGGTGCTGTTAATGCAGGTGGAAGAGTGGGAGAGGGAGTAGCAGGCTTGTAGAAGGCAGGCACGAGTGCAGGTCTGGGTGGGAGTCTGCAGAGCTCCGGGCTGGCCATGCAGATGGGGCCCAGGAAGTTGAGGATCCTGCCCTAGAGCTTGGTCTCCTCTGTCTGAGGTCAGGTTCCCTAGAGGTGGAGCTCCAGAGGGAAATTCTTGTGCAAGCAGTTTCTCAGGGGCCGTGTGCTGAGGGGGATGGGAAGCAGGAACAGTCTAGAAGCTGAGTGAGGATGTGGTCTCAGCTGGAGAGGAGCCTGATCCCATGGGAGCTCTGCAGCAGGGATGGCAATGCCAGGGAGGCGATCCCGCCTGAGGCCAGGCCCAGCTCTTTGTAGCCCCATATTAACTACATTGGCTGTGGGCTGCTGGGGAGCCTGAGTGACGGGGGGAGAGGGGCAGCCAGGGAGGCGCCTAGGTCCTGCAGAGGGCTTGGGCGAGGCAAAAGCTGGGGAGGCTGTGTGCTGCAACATTAAGATGTGGGCTTCAGCCAGGCGTGGAGGCACATGCTTGTAGTCCCAGCTACTCAGGAGGCTGAAACGGGAGGATTGCTTGAGTCAGGGAGGTTGAGACTGTAATGAGCTGTGTTCACACCACTGCACTGCAGCCTGGGTGACACAGTGAGACCCTGTCACACACAAAAGGAGGATGTGGGCTTCAAAGTTGAATTCAAGTAAGTTAGGGTTCTTCCCCTCGTAATGAACAACTTCCTTCACCTCATTGTCTCAGGTTCCTCGCCTGAGAAATGCAAGGAGAATGCTGCCTGCTGGTGGCATGGGCTTGCCGATGAAATGAGCGATTCACCCGTGCCTCTCAGCACAGGGCCTGCTCCGGGCCGCATAGTGTGCATTGCCATCTGCTGTCAGAGCTGGGCTAGTGGCCGCCTTGAGAGCCAGCAGTCCATGGGGGCTGGCGAGCTTCTGGGAGGAAAGGGTGGAACGTGACAGTCAGATACAGAGCTACAGAGAACCCCACCATGAAGTGGTAGGTGGCATCAACAGAGATGGAGAAAGACTGAGCCCAAAGGTGATCAACAACAAGAGTGAAGGAGGAAGTGGTCAGCCGTGGCTGGGACAAAAACAAGCCCAGTAAGTTACATTGGCTTGTATTTGGTCATCCAGGGACAAAGTCACCTTTTTAGTGCCTATAGACCCAGCGCGTTAGGGAAGAATTTAGGCCACAGTGGGCTTACACATGAGAGGAGCAGAGGAAGTGAAGATTGAGTTGAGACCACTGGCTGGAGAACTTGACTGGGAAGGGAGGGCAGAGAGCCGCGTGGGGTGAGGGGAGGGAATAGGTCCAATGAGCGTCTTAGGATGAGGGAGTTGTGAGCACTGAACACTGGATGAGCTGATACAAAGAAGGGGTCGGGGATGGATAGACTGACAGATGCATGCACAGAGGCAGGGATGGATGGACGGACAGATACATGCACAGAGGCAGGGATGGATGGATGGACAGATGCATGCACAGAGGCAGGGATGGATGGACTGACAGATGCATGCACAGAGGCAGGGATGGATAGGGCTTACACATGAGAGGAGCAGAGGAAGAAGATTGAGTTGAGACCACTGGCTGAGAACTTGGATTGGGAAGGAGGGCAGAGAGCCGCGTGGGGTGAGGAGGAATAGGTCCAATGAGCGTCTTAGATGAGGGAGCTAGAGCACTGAACACTGGATGAGCTGATACAAAGAAGGGGTCGGGATGATAGACTGGACAGATGCATGCACAGAGGCAGGGATGGATGGACGGACAGATACATGCACAGAGGCAGGGATGGCTGAGTTGGACAGATGCATGCACAGAGGCAGGGATGGATGCACTGGACAGATGCATGCACAGAGGCAGGGATGGATAGACTGACAGATGCATGCACAGAGGCAGGGATGGATGGACGGACAGATGCATGCACAGAGGCAGGGATGGATGGATGGACAGATGCATGCACAGAGGCAGGGATGGATGGACTGACAGATGCATGCACAGAGGCAGGGATGGATGGATGGAAGGATACATGTCCGGAGGCAGGGGTGGATGGGTGGGTAGATTGGATGGACAGATGAGGGTAGGTTGTTCTTGTCCTGGAGGAGGTGATCCAGGCTAAGTCCTCACACTGAGCACAGCAAGAGGCAGGAGGTGAGCATGGGGAGATGCAGCTGTGTGCCCCAGTGCACCGGAAGTTACAGATGACATTGATGTCCTGTCTTGATGAAACAGGAAACACATTTATCATCTGAGAATTGGGGGCTGGGGTTGACTGGAAGCTCGAGGGGCTGTGAGCCTGTCATGGGGCTGAGGGAAGCGTGCAGGAGCTGCCTGCCAGAGCCTGGGGCAAGGATGATAGGAGGTACTAGGGCCCCTGTGGACTGCCCTCTGGGCATCTCTTGGGGCTGGGGCTGCACAGTTGTGGCTGTGTCATTTCCCCCAGATGCATGGCGTGACAAGGGTGCAGGAAGGGGTGCAGGGTCCGGAAGCTCAGTATGGCCAAGGAGAGACAAGGCAGGGAAGAAGGTGAGAGATGAATGATACCGCTCTGATTGAAACACCAAACTTCCCCCAGTTTCTCAGAAAAAGAACTCAGAGCAACAAGAGAACCTACAGTGGACAGGGAAATTCCTCAGTGCAGATGTGATTTGACCAAGACCATTGAAACCCTTGATGAAAGGCAGGCCGGCAGAGCCAGGGTACCTGGCCACCTACCTTGAAGTCTCTGTGCCTCAGTTTCCTCCTCTGTAAAATGGGCTTAGGAGACAGGTTTGGTGAGAAGTGAATGAAAACGTGTTTGCTACCCCTCTTAGGACACACGTCTCATGCTTAGACGCTCAGCGAGTGGCTTTAGTGAGTGAGATAAGTTTGCTTTTCAGTTCACCAGGTCGTTACCTATGAGCCTGCCCTGAACAGTGCTGACCTTAGTTGGAGATGGCCATGAAACTCATCCGCATGGGGCCATCGGGGCCTCCCTGTGGTGCTGCGGGGCTGTGTCTCTGTCTTGGTCTCTTCTGACCTCTCAGCAGCCGGAGCAGGAGGCAGCAGGCGGCTCACCAGTTGATGAGGAGCTGGGCTTCAGCCAGGCTGGCATGTGAATCCTCTGGGTCCTGGCGGTCCTGAGCGCCTGAGCTGAATCTGGAGGGAAGAGGCTGCTGTGGTGGGAAGAGGCTGGGAGTGAGGCCGGGTGCTGGGGCCAGCAGGCTGTGGTCTGAGAGTGCCTGCTAGAGGAGCTCTGTGTTCCCAAGGAGGTGCAGGAAGACTTGGGGTGGGGGTGGTGCAGGGTAGGATGAGGAGGGGTAGAGGCTGTGGACAGGGAGATGGGGAGCGGGGATGGAGGACTCAAGGAATGTAAGGGATGTGACTCGAGGAGGGATGGGGGTAGGAATGGGGTAGGAGGCAGGAATGGGAGAAGGTCTTGGGTCAAGGACATGGACCTACATCCCCAGTGGATGGGGGTGGCAAGGGGGAGAGGGGTGGGGGTCGCTGACCATAGACTGTAGCTGGGAGGAGGGGATGCTCCCAGGGCTGGGGCTGTCTGCAGAGAATGGCACGCACCTTGTAGGTTCCTGCCCTCGCCCCACCGCCCTCTCAAGTTTCTTTTATTTTCTGTTTTCTTTTTTTGAGACGGAGTCTTGTTCTGTCATCCAGGCTGGAGTGCAATGACAAAGTCATGGGTCACTGCAGCCTCGACCTCCCGGGCTCCAGCAATACTCCTGCCTCCCTGCCTCAACCTGGGACCTGAGTAGCTGGGACTACAGGCGTTCGCCACCATTCCTGGCTAATTTTTTTATTTTTATTTTTATAGAGACGGGGATCTCCTTATGTTGTCCAGGCTGGTCTTGAACTCCTGGGCTCAAGCTATCCTCCCACCCGGGACACCAAAAGTGCTGGGATTATAGGTGTGAGTCACCACATCCAGCTCCTCCCCTCAAACTTCTATGCAAAAAGTGCTCCCTTCCCAGAGGAGGGGCCCCATCTGTGTGTAAGGTGGCCTCTTCCTCTGTGTGTTCTCTGGGTCTTTTCAGCCTTGTGGTCCAGTGTCCAGCACAGCCATGCTGACTGGGTGACTGGAGACAGGGATGATGGAGAGTTCGGGGGGGTCCCGGGCAGAGGAGGCTGGGACCACCTCTGGAGGGTGTCCTGCTGTTCCTGTTGGCCATAGCCGCACTCGCAGGGCCTTCCTGTGCCCCCTTTCCCCAGGCAGGGGCAGCCTCAGCTTCCGCCCACTTTCTCCTGCAGACGGCGAGGGAACGGACCTGTTTGCCGTGGCTGTCCATGAGTTTGGCCACGCACTGGGCCTGGGCCACTCCTCAGCCCCCAACTCCATTATGAGGCCCTTCTACCAGGGTCCGGTGGGCAACCCTGACAAGTACCGCCTGTCTCCGGATGACCGTGATGGCCTGCAGCAGCTCTATGGTAGGAGGAGAGGGACCCGCCGCGAAACCATCATTGCCCTATCTGGTGTCCTCTGCAGCAGGCCAGGGGACCCACACTTGTTTGACTCTTTCCCCACAGGGAAGGCACCCCAAACCCCATATGACAAGCCCACAAGGAAACCCCTGGCTCCTCCTCCCCAGCCCCCAGTCTCACCCCCAGACAGGTGAGTCCCCCACCAAATGGGTGACCTTGGGTGACCAGCTGCCCAGCCTCAGTGTCCTCTGAGATGGGGATGGTGGGGGTCTCCGCCTTGGAGGAAACAAGCCCCCCACCCCGCTCACCTCTCCTTTCCTCCCCAGCCCGTCCTTCCCCATCCCTGATCGATGTGAGGGCAATTTTGACGCCATCGCCAACATCCGAGGGGAAACTTTCTTCTTCAAAGGTGAGTCATTTCATGTGGCCTCATGTATGTTGGCTTCCTGCCCACTTCAGTGACCCACTGGGGTTGTGGGCTTACCCTGGAAGTGGAACTTTTTTTCTTCTTCTTTGAGACAGAGTCTTGCTTTGTTGCCTAGGCCGAAGTGCAGTGGTGTGATCATGGCTCACTGTAGCCTCAAAATACGGGGATCAAGTGATCTTCCCACCTCAGCCTCCCTAGTAGCTGGGACCACAGGCACATGCCAACATGCCTTGCTAGTAATTTATTTTTTTATTTTGTAGAGATGGGGTCTCACTATATTGCCCAGGCTGGTCTCAATCTCCTGGCTCAAGTGATTCTCCGTTGTCAGCCTCCCAATGTGCTGGCATTACAGGTCTGAGCCACCAGGCACGGCCCTGGGACTTTTAGTGCTAAAAAGGGAAAAGTCGCAGGCAGGCCAGGATGGGCTGGTCACCCTAGATCCATTGTGCCCTTGATTTCCAGATGGGACCCCTCCCCACCCAGCCACACACCCTGCGGGAGGAGACCTCCTGTGTCTCATGCCTTCCTGCGAACCCCTTTGTCCCCTGCAGGCCCCTGGTTCTGGCGCCTCCAGCCCTCCGGACAGCTGGTGTCCCCGCGGCCTGCGCGGCTGCACCGCTTCTGGGAGGGGCTGCCTGCCCAGGTGAGGGTAGTGCAGGCCGCCTATGCCCGGCACGGAGACGGCCGAATCCTTCTCTTCAGCGGTGAGTGGGACGGGCGGTGGAGCGCGCTGGGGCCGGCGCGGGGAGCCCGCGCTGACCTCCCGGCCTCCGCTCTGCAGGGCCCCAGTTCTGGGTGTTCCAGGACCGGCAGCTGGAGCGCGGGGCGCGGCCGCTCACGGAGCTGGGGCTGCCCCCCGGGGAGGAGGTGGATGCTGTGTTCTCGTGGCCACAGAACGGGAAGACCTACCTGGTCCGCGGCCGGCAGTACTGGCGCTACGATGAGGCAGCGGCGCGCCCGGACCCCGGCTACCCTCGCGACCTGAGCCTCTGGGAAGGCGCCCCCCACTCCCCTGACGATGTCACCGTCAGCAACGCAGGTGGGAAGCGCGGTGACCTGCGGGTTACTGGGCCTGGGGTGGGGAGAGGAGTGTGGGGAATGGGGACATGGAGACCACCCTGCGGGATGGGGGTCCTTGGGCAGCAGGGAGGGGGGGCGGGGCGGGGCGGGACCGGGACTCAAGCTCTGCTCTCCCAGGTGACACCTACTTCTTCAAGGGTGCCCACTACTGGCGCTTCCCCAAGAACAGCATCAAGGCCGAGCCGGACGCCCCCCAGCCCATGGGGCCCAATTGGCTGGACTGCCCCGCCCCAAGTTTTGGTCCCCGCGCCCCCAGGCCCCCTAAAGCGACCCCCGAGTCCAGAGCCTGCGATTGTCAGTGCGAGCTCAACCAGGCCGCAGGACGGCGGCCCGCTCCCCTCCCGCTGCTTCTCTTGCCCCTGCTGGTGAGGGTTGTCGCCTCCCGCTGATGGGGGGAGCGATCCAGACGGAACAGCGCCTGCCACGGCCGAGTCTCCCGCAGCTGGACCTGGTCGGGGGTTGTGAGGCGCTGCGGAGGCCCCTTGTCTGTTCCCACAGACGGGGGCTTGGGCACGGACTAAGCGGGATGGATCTCCAGCGCAGGGACGGCGGCAGCGCGGACTGGTCGCCCTGGCGCTGGGCTCAGTCTCCGCGGGGTCTCCCGCCCCCGGCGATGCCACCTGAACCGGCCGCCAGGGGGCGCGCTCGCGCGCTGGGTCCACTCGTCGGTCGCCGCCCCCGTCGTTCTCTCGCGGCAGCCGCCCGGGGGATAGGACCGAGCCCGGGGAGGGGGCGGGGAGGACAAGGGGCGGGCCTGCGGCCTCACCCGGAGGGTCGGCGGTCCCTGGCCGCGAGCTGTCCCCGCAGGACTGTCCTTTTCCAGGAAAAGGCAACTTTTCTCGGAGCGCAGTCCCGGGACTCTCCGCAGCCCCGCCCTGCCTGGCCACTGTGCCTGGCGTTCCTGGGTCGTTAGAGGACAGGCTTTACTGCGAAGCTGGGCCCTGCCCTCTCCCACCCGCAGTTTCTCACCCCGTTCTGCTCCCACGATGCCCCTCTACAGTCATTGCCACATTGGTGGGAACGTGGGACCCAGACCCGGAACCAGCCCAGATACCACCCTTGAGGACCCATGCACCACGTCCTGGGTGGTGGCATCAGTGGCTGGAGGGATGATCCTTGCTCTCCAGACCCTGTTAACCTTCTTTCCATTCCTCCCCTGCCACCTGTCTCCTCCTCCTCAGGCCACCCAGCCTGGGCACCTCCCTGGGCCCAGAACTGCCTCCCATTGAATGGAGCACCCTTCTATCCCCAAGAACCCCTTCCCTGCTTGCACCCTGGAGAGAACAGCTTGACTCCCATCAACTCAATGCTGGTGGAAAGACAGGGACGGAACCCTGGATCAGGCCTGGTCATTGCCCCCTCAGCACTCTCTCCTGGAAGGCCTTAGTTCTAGAGTGAGGGGTGGGTGGAACCTGGGGGCACCTGATTCACCCTGTCCCTACTCCCCACAGTTTTAGGATCTACATGATTGCCTGTGGAACTATTTTTCTAGGCTATCCCACATCAGGATCACTGGGAAATTTAAGTTTGCAGATCCCACACCTCACCCTGAATCCTCACTCAGGGTAGGGTCAGGAATCTGCATTTTAACTAGTTGCGGGGATTGTGGGGGGCAGTAGCTGACTGTCTCGTGGCATTTCTGTGGCTCTGAAGTGTTCCCCCATCCCAGGACCTATCTCTTCATATCTTCTCTACAGAGCCACACTGACGGCCTGACCCCCATGGGTAGTCACTTAGGGGCCACTTCCTAAGTTGCTGTCCAGCCTCTGTGACCCCCTAGTGCTTCCTGGAGCTGAGGCTGTGGGCAGCCATCCCTGCGACCAGGGAAGGGGTTCCCCCAATTTCTCATACAAACAGATCAGCATGAGGACAGAGGCAGGAGACTTTGGGAATTCTGGGCTGCTGGGAAACGATTTGGGCCTCTGTCAGTTTCTTTTCCATGTATGAGGAGGGAGAAATTTGTATTTTAGAAACTTATTCATCCCAGTCAGGACAATAAAAATGAATGGACAAAAAGCCCTTTCATTCTTCTGAGCATTGATGGACCTAGGGAGAAGTGTGGTGGCGGGAACTGGATGACCTGAATCTCCCTGCTTTGCAGAAGAAGGAATCCAGGGTTGATGGGGAATCTAAGAAGGAAGAGTGGGGCTGAGTGTGGTGGCTCACACCTTAATCTTAGCATTTTGGGAGACCAAGGCAGGCAGATCATTTGAGGTCAGGAATTTGAGACCAGCCTGGCCAACATGCAGAAATCCCATCTCCACTAAAAACAGAAAAAAAAAAATTAACCAGGCATGGTGGTGCATGTCTGTAATCCCAGCTATTAAGGAGGCTGAGACAGGAGAATCTCTTGAACCTGGGAGAGGGAGGTTGCAGTGAGCCAAGATCTCATGACTGCACTCCAGCCTGGGCAACAGAGCGAGACTCCGTCTCAAAAAAATAAAATAATAAAATAAAATAAAAATAAGAAGAAGAAGAAGAAAGAAGAGTGGGAGAAGAAGTAGAGAGGAACCCAAAAGTTGGTTATGGGGCACCTGGAGGACAGTCGGCCACTGTGGAATTGAGACTGCCTCATGGCTCCATGTAGACTTCCAGAGCCTTTAAAATTTTATAACTGCTACACAAAAATGTCATGTCAAAGCAATTATTTTTATTTTTTAAATGGTCTCATAATCAAAATTTCAAACTTTTGTGCTTCAAAGGACATCATCCGGAAAGTTGGAAAGAGGCTGGGCGCAGTGGCTCATGCCTATAATCCAAACACTTTGGGAGGTCAAAGTAGGAGAATGGCTGGAGCCCAAGATTTCAAGACCAGTCTGGGCAACATAGTGAGACCTTGTCTCTACAAAATAATCCAAAAATTAGCCGGGCATGGTGGCAGCTCGTGTCTGTAGTCCCAGCTACTCAGAAGGCTAAGAGGAGAGAATCACTTGAAGGCGAGAAGTCTTGGCAATGATGAGCTGTGATCACACCACTGCGCTCCACCCTGGGCAACAGATCTGTCTCAAAAAAAAAAAAAAAAAAAAGGCCAGGTGCGGTGGCTCACACCTGTAATCCAAGCACTTTGGGAGGCTGATGCAGTCGTTTGAGAGGCAGGTGTCACTTGAGGTCGAGAGTTTTAGACCAACTGGCCAATATGGTGAAACCCCGTCTCTACTAAAAATACAAAAATTAGCCGGGTGTGGTGGCGCATGCCTGTAATCCCAGTTACTTGGGAGGCTGAGGCAGGAAAATCACTTGAACTCGGGAGTTGGAGGTTGCAGTGAGCCGAGATCACGCCATGGCACACCAGCCTGGGCGACCAAGCGAGACTGTATCAAAAAAAAAAAAAAAAAAAAAATTGTCACATGATACCATTTCAGCCCACTAAGATAGCTAGAATTAAAAAGACCCAGAGCATAACAAATGTTTCTGAGGATGTGGAGAAACAGGAACCCTCGCACACTGCTGCTGGGAATGTAAAATGACAGACATTTTGAAAAATGGTCTGGTTGGCCGGGCGCGATGGCTCAAGCCTGTAATCCCAGCACTTTTGGAGGCCGAGACGGGCGGATCACGAGGTCAGGAGATCGAGACCATCCTGGCTAACATGGTGAAACCCCGTCCCTACTAAAAAATACAAAAAAAAAACTAGCCAGGCGAGGTGGCGGGCGCCTGTAGTCCCAGCTACTCGGGAGGCTGAGGCAGGAGAATGGCGTGAACCCGGGAGGCGGAGCTTGCAGTGAGCTGAGATCCGGCCACTGCACTCCAGCCTGGGCGACAGAGTGAGACTCCGTCTCAAAAAAAAAAAAGAAAAATGGTCTGGCTGTTCCTCAAAAGGATAAAAACACATTTACCATGTAACCCAGCTATTCTTCTCCTTCATACATATCCAAGAGAAGTGAAAACATATGTCTGCACAGAAACTTGTGCGTGAATGTTCACAGTAGCATTATTCAGCACAGCCAAAAAGTGGAAAGAACCCAAGTATCCTTTGACGGGTAAATGGAGAAACCGCTTGTGGTCTATCCACACAGTAGAATATTATGCAGCCAGAAAAAAGGAATGAAGGACTGATCCATGTTACAACACAGATGAACCTCAAGAACACGATGCTCAGGGAAAGACACTAGACACAGAAGGTCACCTAGTGTGTAATACTACTTACAGGAAATGTGTGGGGGAGACGCATCCACTGAGTGAGAAAGCAGATGAGGCTGGACTCAGTGGCTCACACCTGTAATCTCAGCACTTTGGGAGACCGAGGCAGGCAGATCACTTGAGGTCAGGAGTTCGAGACTCCTTGGCAACACGGTGAAACCCCGTCTCTACCAAAAGTACAAAACTTAGCTGGTGGTTGTGGCATGTGCCTATAATCCCAGCTACTCGGGAGGCTGAGTCAGGAGAATTGCTTGAACCCGGGAGGCAGAGGTTGCAGTGAGTCGAAATCGTGCCACTGCACTCCAGCCTAGACAACAGAGGGAGACTCTGTCTAAGAAAAAAAAGAAAAAGTAAAAGAAAGTAGATGAGTGGTTGTCCAGGGAAATGAGGACTGGTGGTGATGTCTCAGAGGGGCAGAATTTCTCTTAGAAGTGATGAAAATGTTCTAAAATGGGTTGTGGTGATAGCTGCACAGTTCTGTGCTTTAAATTGCACAGGTCAGTGAGTGAATTGCTTTGCTTGTGAATTGCATCACCGTAAAGCTATAAAAACAAGGTACAGTCTGGATGGATCCCAAGATGCTTTCGGATGGTGGCCTTTGTGAGAGTCATGGAGGGTCTACGATTGGGGGGCATGGAGAGACAGTCTCTTGGAGCTGAAGCCTAGAGCATGACTTAGCTGGTGCAGGAGTGGCCTCCTTCTCTCCTGCCCTGGAAGAGGCTCCGCCCACTACTCCCCACTTCCCCCATGAAACCAGCTGTGTCTTTGTGCCAGGAAGACTGGGTGTAGAAGGTGACTGTCTCAGTGGAGCTGTGTCATCTCAGGTGGGGAGTTGGGGTTTCTGAAGGTGAGGACCCTCTAGGGAGAAGGGTGCTTCTCTGAGACACTTTTCCTCACACCTGTTCCTCGCCAGCGGGCCCTGGCTCCTGGAACTTTTGGCCGCCATGTGCTTCACGAAGGTGAGTGAGAGGCTGCGTGTGTTTTGTGGGCGTCTGAAAACAGACCGTAAGGGTGCGGGTGCCCTCAGTATTTCCTGAGGTGCCTGTGTGTCAGGGCTCAGTCAGGGACGCCCAGTGGCAGGAGGATAGTGATGGGGTGAGAGTGTCACTGGAGGCGCTGGAGGTCACATCTGTCGGGGGCGCTGGAGAATGGCAGGGGTGCAGATGAGAGGGAGCACCTGTCCCAGGAGCCCCTCACAGCCCAGAAAGCCCGGGGCAGGGGTGGGGCAGGGCTCTCCTGGAAATGACTCAGAGAATGATCCTCTCAGAGGCTGGCTCAGCTGGGCAGGCCCAAGAGTAGGGCCTGTGTGGGTCCAGGTGTCTCTTCCTCCTTTCCTGGGTTCCCTCTGACCTCTCATTCTCTACCACTGCCCCACCCCAAATGTGAGGCACAGTACATCCTCCAGGGAGCTCTGCGGCCTGTGCCAATGGGTGAAACCCCGTCTCTACTAAAAATATAAAAATTAGCTGGGAGTGGTGGCGTACACCTGTAATCTCCACTACTAGAGGGGCTGAGGCGGAGAATCGCTTGAACCCAGGAGGTGGAGGTTGTGGTGAGCAGAGATTGCACGATTGCTCTCTAGCTTGAGCAACAAGAATGAAACTCCATCTCAAAACAAAACAAAACAAAACAAAGCAAAACAAACGAGAAAAGCGTCAGATCTCGTGAGAACTCACTCGCTTTCACCAGAACAGCATGGTGGGAAGTGCCCCCCTGATCCAATCACTCCTACCACTTCCTTCCCTTGACATGTGGGGATTACAATTCCAGATGATATTTGGGTGGCACACAGAGCTAAACCGTCTCAATTGCACCCTGGATGTGCTGACCCCTGTGATTTCCCCAAGTGTGGGACACCCGGCTGCATAATTTGTGGTAGTGGGGGACTGCACTCATACTTTCCCCTGAAAACAATAAAGTAAAATAACAGTTGCTTAAATAGAATCAGGTGCCTATCTCTAGGCTTCTCTGATAGGGAGGCAGGCGGCCCAGTAGTGACAGCAGAGACTGTGGCTCCGATGGACCTACCCAGGTTCTAGATGTGGAAGAGCAAGGCCAGGCCCCTGACTTTCTTATTGATAATGGTGCATGGGTCTCCGTGCCCTAGTGGGTTGGTTGAGGACTAGAGGATTTCAGCCTGGTGTATCCTTGATCACAGAGCTGGAAGCACAGAACTGCTCCCTGATCGCCACCCCTGGGCCTCCGGCGTGAGGGGACTTTGGCCCCCACATCTTTCTTGTCATGACTCCCTCTTCCATCCTCATCCCCTGGGCAGGGCCGGGGCCACAAACTTTCCTTGGTTTTCTCCCAAGATCAAGGGCCCCAGGGGCTGGGGCAGAGGGGACTCCGGAGTCCCCCACCAGGCCCTGGTTTCAGGGGAGAGGCAAGAAGGCAGGAGTCAGATCTCTGGGCCTGAGGCCTCAGCACCCTGAAGTTGCAGAGCCCGGGGCAGCCAGGAGGAACGACTGGGAGGGCACTTCTTACCATTTCGGAGGCCACGCTCAAATGGCCCTGCAGAGGCTCCCGTCGTCCTCCACTTCCTGCCTCTGCTTACTCACACAGACCAGCCTACCCCATTCAGGGGAGGCTTGGCAGCCAGCAGCAGCTGGTGAGATAAAGATGGGGTTGGGGGCCCTGTCCTGTTCTGTCCCGTCCTATCCTGGAGTTCCATGACTCTTGCCTTTGGGCTGAGGAGGAAGGAGGAAGGGGAAATGGGCCACGGCTTGGGGAGAAGCAAACACCCACAGGGAGGCTCCCTGACCAGCTCTCCTAGGGCTGAGCCCGCGGTCTGGGAGGGACACTGGGGTGTGCTCAAGGGTATGGGGGGCTTGGGGACTGGAGGTCAGTATGCCCCTCCCTAGTCTGCCCTTTCAGAGC